GCACCTGGATTGTTGACTCTGGTGCCTCCTTCCACGTTACCCCACACAAATGTTTTTTCTCCTCTTACCGAGGTGGTGATTTTGGAGTCGTGAAGATGGGAAATCAAGTGACCAGCAAGATTGTTGGTGTCGGTGATGTAACTCTGACCACAGATATCAGATGCCGACTTCTGTTGAAAGATGTAAGGCATGTTCCTGACACGCGTTTAAACCTAATCTCGGTAGGCAAACTTGATGATGCCGGGTTAGTAAACTACTTCGGTAGTGTTAGATGGAAACTGGCCAAGGGAAACTTGGTCGTGGCCCGAGGTAAGAAGGAAGGCTCCTTGTACGTGATGCAAGGAAAGATCAATGGTGGAGAAGCCAATTCTGTCTGAAATGAACCTAGCTTTGAGCTATGGCACAAGCGCCTCGGCCACATGAGCGAGAAAGGGCTCTAGATCCTGAACAAAAAAGGATTACTGACCGGGTTGAAAGGCCAAGCGTTGGAGAGTTGCACGCACTGCCTAGCTGGAAAGCAGCACCGGGTTTCTTTTGTGAGACTAGATCAACCTAGACGACGCAGGTATATTCTTGACCTCGTCCATACTGATGTCTGCTCTATGTCGAAAATATCCCTTGGAGGAGCTCAGTACTTTGTTTCATTCATTGAATACCATTCCCGCAAAGTGTGGGTATATTTGTCGAAGTCTAAAGACCAGGTACTTCAATCATTTAAAGAATTCCATGCTATGGTTGAAAGGGAGACTAGCAAGAAATTGAAGGTGGTCTGATCTGATAATGGTGGTGAGTATTGCGGCCCTTTTGATGCATGTTGCAGAGCGGCCGGGATCCGAGTTGAGAAGACGCCCCCAAGACACCTCATCTGAATGGACTGGCTGAGCGGATGAACAAAACTATTGAAGAGAAGGTCCGAAGCATGTTATCCAATGCCGGATTGCCGAAATCATTCTGGGGAGAAGCCGTCAAAACAGCTGTTGACTTGATCAACCTCTCACCATCACGGCCACTTGAAGGAGAAATTTCAGAAGAAGTCTGGACAGGTCGGAAAGCGGCCTATAATCAATTGAAGGTGTTTGGATGCCGAGCTTTCGTGCATATCCCTAAAGATGAAAGAGCTAAACTTGATGCAAAGACCAAAGAATGCATTTATCTTGGTTCGCCGAGATGTGAGTTCGGGTTACGACCTTGGGATCCAACAATAAGAAGATCGTGAGTAGCCGAGATGTGATCTTTCAAGAGCATGAGAACATTCACGACATCTCGAAGCCCAAAGTCCGAGTTACTGTCAGACGAGAAGAACCCATCCCTCCTGTCCGAGCTGAAGCAGGGGGAGAAAATCAAGAAAATGAAGAAAATGATGATCAGCAACAAGCTGAAGATGACCAAGACACTGAGGTCCGAGTTGATGATGAGATCCAGGATGAGAATGATGAACCGGGTTCTCAAGCCGAAGAACAGCCGAGATATCCAACTCGAGAAAGAAGACCCTCTACGAGATACCCATATGATGAATACACTGTTGTAGCTGAAGATGGCGAGCCTCAGAGTTATGATGAGGCTGTGGCGAGCCTCAGAGTTATGATGAGGCTGTGACGAGCTCAGAGAAAGAAGAATGGGAAAAGACAATGCAAGACGAGATGAAGTCTTTGCATGAGAATCAGACTTATGAGCTGACCGAGTTTCCTAAAGGAAGACGAGTTTTGAAAAATAAGTGGGTCTACAAGATTAAGAATGAAGAGAACGGGCAAAAGCCGAGATACAAAGCCCGAATTGTAGTGAAAGACTGCAATCAGAAGAAAGGAGTAAACTTTGAGGAGATTTTTTCCTGTGGTGAAAATGACCTCGGTCCGAACCGTGTTAGTCATGGCGGCTTCGATGGACCTCGAGGTAGAACAAATGGACGTGAAGATGGCATTTCTTCACGGTGATTTAGAAGAAGAAATATATATGGAGCAACCTGAAGGATTCCAAGCTCCAGACCAAGAAGACTTGGTATGTCGGTTGAAAAAGAGCCTCTATGGCTTGAAGCAAGCACCTCGGCAGTGGTACAAGAAGTTTGAATCATTCATGACTGATCATAAGTTTGAGAAGACAGAAGTCGACCACTGCGTATTTGTGAAGAGGTATGAGGCTGGAGATTTTCTGATTTTGTTGTTATATGTTGACGACATGCTTATTGTAGGGAAAGACAAATCGAGGATAGTCGCCCTGAAAAAGGCGTTGAGCTCGTCCTTCGCAATGAAGGACCTCGGCCTTGCAAAGCAGATTCTCGGAATCAAGATCATCCAAGATAGACAGAAGAAGCTACTATGGCTGAGTCAAGAGAAATATATTGAGAAGATTCTGAAGAGATTCAGCATGGACAAAGCCAAAACAGTGAGCACCCCCCTTGCCGGACACATAAAGCTGAACCATAAGCAATGTCCGAGATCTGATGAAGACAAAGATGAGATGATGAAGGTCCCGTACCAATCCGCCGTCGGAAGCTTGATGTATGCAATGGTTTGCACTAGACCCGACTTGGCGTATGCTGTTGGAATGGTAAGCCGGTATCTGTCAAACCCCGACAAAGAGCACTGGGAAGCAGTGAAGTGGATCTTCAAGTACCTTCGAGGTACGACCGACTTATGTCTCCGATTTGGAAGAAGGCAAAGCCGAGTTGCAAGGCTACTCGGATTCTGATTTAGGGAGAGATGCCGACTCGAGGAAGTCGACTACAGAATATTTGATGAGATTTGCCGGAGGAGCTGTCTCTTGGCAATCAAGACTTCAGAAATGTGTTGAACTATCGACAACTGAGGCTGAGTACATTCCCGCTACTGAGGCAAGCAAAGTGATGTTGTGGATGAAGAAGTTCCTCATGGAACTCGGCCATGATCAAGACAAGTACGAGCTGAGTTGTGACAATCAAAGCGCAATCCATCTTGCGAAGAATTCGACCTATCACTCCCGCACTAAGCATACTGATGTGAGGTATCACTGGATCCGGGATGTGGTGGAAGGTGGAGAGCTCGAACTCGTCAAGGTGCACACTGACCAAAATTGGTCCGACATGATGACGAAACTGGTTCCATCAAGAAAATTTGAAGACTGCTGTGAAGGAGCCGGGTTGATGCTGAAGCCGACGCATTGAAGTCAGAGGGGGAGATTTGTTGGGCTTCCTCCTTCAATGCTAAGCCCAAGCCCATTGAGGGGTTTCCTAAAAACCCTAACCCTAATTTCCACTCCTCTATTTATACTCATTAGTTGTGGGTGGAGGCTAGGTCATTTGAGAGATCTCTAAAGAGAGTTTGAGTGAAACATCTCTAGGGTAGTTTAATTATCACCATTGTTGGAGAGGTTGAGTTAACCACCACATTGGTGTATTCTGATTATTTTGTAACCATTATTTTCATAGTGGATTTTTGATCTGAACTAGGTCCCGTGGGTTTTTACTTCTTCATTGAAGAAGGTTTTCCCACGTTAAAACTGGTTGTGTTCCATTTCTCTCTCTTTCTCTCCTGTTTTTCGTTTTGATTTTTCCACTGCGCTGCCCGATCTGGTGAAGTTCAGGCCGAGGTATTTCCGAGATCCGAGATCAGGATCTTGTTGATTGACTTCCGCACAAAGGCCCCCGAGCCGATCTGAGGGAACCGAGTTTTCCAAACAAATCAATCACGCCTAATCCATAAACTAGGGATTCTACCGCTCTAATTTGAGTTGGGTTTGTCCATCCGGACCAAATCTTTGCATGTCGGGCTAACAAGTGACATAAGCTCTATACCTGATCAAGATATCAAGTATGGTTTGTAAAGAAAAGAATGGCTAAACAAAAACATAAAAGGAGGGCTGGATTGTGTTGTAACTTATTTCACAATAAACAATGAAAATCAATGCAAAACAAACTCCTTTTTTCAAGAATGTGTTGTAACTTTTACACATGTATGTATGCTTCTAGCATTGATCTAACTCTGTTCCATGTGTGTGAGTCATGAATGTATGAATCATGTATATATGACACTCAATGTATGAGTTTATGCCTTTTATATGCAACCTTGAGAATTATAGCTCAATAAATTCAAATCTCTAGATTCCTAAAACTTTGAAAATATAATACAAATTGTGTAAGCTTGAGCTTTCAGAATTCTTATTTTCTCTTTATATTTTGAGTATTATAGTTTGTTTCTTCACTTGATTTGACCTTAGAGTTGACTTTGCACTTTGAAGTTGTCCCTTCACTTTCACATGTTGCCTTACCCTTCTAACTTCATTTGCGAATTGTTGCACAACCTTCTATGTTGTGCAAACATATTGAGTTAGTTGATGCTTTGTAATCATTAAAACTCCTCTTTCTTGATCTTTGTGACCTATGGTCAAATATGGTTCAAATTAATTTATTAACCTTTGCTTGTTTAAATAATTTGCAATAAAAATATAAATTAATTTATACAAAAAAGTAATTGTTTTAAAATATATGAATATTTAATTGAAGGGAGTATAATTTCTCATGTTGCACGAGATTAAATTATTTCGTACATATACAAAAAAAAGCTGATGAGTATTTTATCTCATGCAATATAAGAAAATATATTCCCTTATTTGAAATAATATTTAAATAAACTTTTAAAAAATTAATAATTATAAAAAATTTAAATTAAGGCCACCTCAAATGTTACGAACCAATTCATGTGAATCCGAATTAATTAAAGGGAAATAGTTTTTTCATTTTAATGAATTTTTTTTTATGCTACACAAACAATTATATGGTGGGGTCTCATTTTAATTTTTTTGTTTTTTCATTTTTTTTTGGATCTACTCGTATATTATGTGTGTAGCATGAGAATATTTAGTAAAATGAGAAAATTAATCCCCTTAATTAAATCAAATTAAATGAAATTAAGTCAGTTCTTTTAATATTTAAATTTAAATTTGATCGGTTTACCACAGATTTTAACATACCTGTTACTGTCCGCATACAATCCACATCTATGATGCGCCCACTGCAAGTATCAGTGGAAGACGGAGGGAAATAACTCAGAAAGAAGAGAGAGAGAGAGAGAGGGTTTTGATTTTCGTATGGTTAGGGTTTAGGGTTTAGCTGATTGAGTGAGAGGTTGTAAGGGGGAATGGAAAGCAACAAAGTTAGCAGTGAGGGAAATGCAATTCGAATCGAGAATCCATTTGCTTTGAAGGTGGGTCAAGTGTTTACGGGTTTTGGAATCGGCTGTGGAGTAGGCATCGGCGTTGGACGCCCTTTAAATTTAGGTGCTTTCTCTTTTTCTTCTCCCAATTACATGTCTCTGTGAATTTATTAGATACAAAGAGAAATGGACTTGGGACGCTTCTTCAAACCCAAAACTCAAACTTCTCTTCACAAACCATGTATTTGCTTTTCCCATTTCCATACACTTTTATCATATTCATTTGTCTCTTATTTTCTCAAAACATAATCACTCACTTAGCACCTTCACATGTATAATATACTCACATTTTATTACTTCTTGCATTTTTTTCTTCCCGAATTTGATCCTATAAAGGATTGATTCTTCTTCATGTAGGTGATATTCGTTAGGACTTGAGAAATATTACTGATAATATATTTGTGAATTTTGAATAATTTTTTTACCAATGCATATTTATATCGTGTTCATTCCATGTAGGTGCAATACCTATGTTGAATCAAGTAATGAGTGCCACCAGAGGTGCAACCGATGCATTTTCTGGCGTTAGCAGGCATGTCAATACCTCTGTAAGACAAAATCCATCATCTTGCTATTTAAAGTATGCTTTTATTATCGTGTTACTTTTTGTTTTTTGTTTTTAACGAAGTATTTGTTTCTCATATTTTATACAGTTGAGGAAGTTGGGAGCTAAAAATATTGAAGTGGGCATTGGATGTGGAGTTGGTTTTGGTCATGGTTTTGGAGTTGGTATGCCATATCTTTACATTGGATTATCATGTCATTAGTTCCATTTTTCTTGTTTGATTCATAATTGTTCCGGGTTTAACCCGGATTTGTGTAACTTGGGCCCTTCCATGGTTTGGACAACCCATATCCGGCTTAGGCCCAGTATCCGACTTAGAACTCAACCCTTAAGCCCGGATCGTGGGTTCGATCGCACTATCATCACTCTCCTGTGCAATTGCCACGATCACCTTTAGGAGAACTGCTCTAGACCCATGATCCTCCTCCATAACCGCTCATGATGGCTGCTATAAATACGTCTACAGTGCCCAAGGAAGGACACTTTAGTCACATTGCATTCATCCATACTTATCAAGCCATATACAACCATTCACTCTAACCTTACACCATCGATACTAGTTCAGACCATATCCATACTTGGCATATTCCATACACTTATCCAACAACCTAACATTGTAGTTGGTGTTCGCTCTGAACAATAATATTCTTTTGTTTTGGTCTTTGCCTGGTAACTGTGATTAGGGAGTTTTTGAACTATAAGTCTATCTGTTGTGTCTGGCAATGTTTTTAAACTTTTACATCTTCCGAAAAATCGTAGATCATTTGTTCTGAATAGTTGCCAAAATGATTCATTTAGAAACCAGACGATTTGATGTTTTAACGTTTTGTATGCTCAGAAAATCTTGAAAGCGCTTCTTGGAGGGAGCTTTCAAGTGTTTATTGATTGTATAAGTGTCCTGTATCATATATCACTGTATCATATGCATTCCATGAAATTGACTTTCAAACCACCTCTATACGGGACTACAATTAAATTACAGTTCATAAAGAATAAGGGCTGTGGCTGGCTGCATACTGCCGTCCAGTTATGATATTTTATGCATTGCCCTAGAGAAATGTTATTTTAAACAAACTAAGTTGTAAAGTTGTACATTCCTATGCATTGTATACTAAAGAATAAAATTGTGGAAGCAGAAGACAATTCTAGGAATTGCCAAAGCATGCCTAAGCCTCAGGACGCTGTAGATTAAAGTGCTGAGGTTGCATGAGACTTAGTTATCATTTATATGTTCCTGGCCATAGTCTCTTTGTCACTTGACTTGGGTGGATTCTGTTTGATTATTGCAGTTTTGAAAGACTTCCCATGTTTTATGCACATTGTTCAGTTGATAGCTGAGTTTTTATTTATTTGTTATGGCAGGCCTTGCTGTGAAACCAGGGGTGTTGAATCAAATTCAATCTTGTCTTATAGTATGTGAAATTTCTCTCATCTCAAAAATGTTGTCTTCTATTTCTTGCCTATTATGTATCTCATGTTTAAAATATTGAATTTTCTAGGTAGCAATGACAAAGATGATGATGAAGTTTGGACTTACTCCCAGTTTGCCCTTTAGTCAGGGTGCATTTCCAGCATCCTTGCAAAGTGCCATAAGCACGGTCAATACTAACCAAATGTCTACAGGAAGCATGATGCAGTTGGCAACTAAATCAGCCGACCAAGTATCACAAGGTCTGGCAGGGTCTCAGCCTATGCATATTGGTTCGGCTTTTGAAAATACTACATTAAAAGGCACTGCAGTTGACTCTGAATCTGGCAGCCGAACTGAGAAGGTTATTAGCAACTTTCTGCAAAATCCATTATTGAAGGGAGAAGGAGGAGGACTTGATGAAGCAGTATGTACTCATTTTCATAAATGACAATTAGATGTTATGCCTTCTCTTTCATGCTTTTTCTTCCTTTCATTAAAACTCATATTTATTTCTTAATGATTTTTTGGTAAACTTTTTAAAATGCCTTCTTGAAAGAAGAAATATAGTCTATAGGAGGCATTTGCCTATTGGAATAATTTTATTCCTGGGAATGTGATTCTCTCTTCCTTTTTTTGTTTGTTTGTTTTGTGTGGCTTACAAGGGAGGTCCAAGACATAGTGTGGAGATGGGGCAGGTAGGCTAAAGTTAAGGCCAAGCAGCCTTGGTGGTATTTGAACCCAGAATCAAATAGTCTCCAAAGGGACTTGGTGCCACTTGAGTTAAGGCTCCTGGGTGGAATGTGATTCTTGGATATGTTGCCAAAAGTGTTTGAATTGCCAAAAATATTCTCGAGAGTATTTGATGAAATTCCCAAAATATTCTTGAGTGCCAACTATTGGGTGGCGGCAGTAGTGATAAAAGTGCTGGCATGCTGGTGTGATGGTGCTGCTTGGTTGGTGGTAGTAAGGGTGGAGGATAAGGGATGAGGGTTGGGTAATGAAGTCTTTTTACATGCTATTAGCGGGAATTAAAGAAAAACCCTCCTCACTCCATGCAATTTTGTTTTTTGGCCAAAATATGGGAATATTATATCATTCACTGGAATATGTTTGGGAATGCCGTACTATTCCCCGGAATCCTGAAAACAATATGTGAACCTCCTGTATTGATAATGAATCTCTGTCTCCTATTTTCTGTTGTAACTATCAATTGTTACCGTATTTGTTTTTACACCGCCTTCCCTCTCAGAAAAATTATGTACATGATTAGACTTGAGTAACAGAAGATCTGTTAGTTGAAATTGTTGAGCCTGGAAAGATGTAGTTATCAGATGAGAGGGATGAGTATTTGACTTTAAATTCTTATGCACTCTTCCTGCATGCATCATCTATTGGTTAAACTATGAAAGTCGTTATTACTTCGGTGTTTTAAACAAGCACTAAATGTGTGATAGAATGTTCATTCTCTATATTATTCCCTCCTTTCCTTTTTTATTTGAATTTTTCCTTTGAGTTAATCAAATATTACTTGAAATCCTGATTCTAAAATACATTGTAGGCTGGACGCTTGCAGACAGAGAACAAAATACTTCAGATGGTAATTTTCCATTTTGTCTAGTTGGTGTTGATTTTGTAGCCAAGATGTCAAATCATAATTGATAACACATCACTTAATATAGTATATACAATTAGATTCTCAATCTTATAACTAGGGTACGTATGCTTTTTGTCAAACTTTACAATGGTTCAGTTACTTCAATTATTATTATTTATTTATTTATTTATTTTTTATTTAGGTTTTGAAGCACCAGCAAATCATTGAAGAACTTGTGGAGGAAAATGAGAAGCTTCGCCAGATACTAGTGGAGGACCTGAAAATACCATCTAGCAAACTTCAAACAAGTTCTTCAGGTAGAATTAGAAATAAGTTGCCGTGTACTGATTGTTTTGAGTGCCGAAGAAAACAAAGAAAAAAGTAGGTTAAGAATAATAATAAACTTATTGAAGTGCTTGCATGCTAAAGGGTCCCCCTGTCACCGTGATACCCCTTCATGTTTTGGGTGTTATTCCTTCCAGTGCCTCTGCTAGTCTGTTTAAGTTTTTTAGGTCATCATGGCTTACGAATTACTGGAGAGACTATAAATACTAGCTCACCTTGCCCGACGTATTAAATCAAATTAGCATTAAATGACAGGCATTTAGGAATTGTCAAGAAAGCATTTTTTATCCACTCCCAAAAATAGTTCAGCAAAAGGTATTTAGAAAAATTTAGAAGGATCTGGTTACGGGTTATCCCCTCCTGAATGCGCCCCATGTGTATATCCAAAGTTTGGTTGTATTATAAGTTTTTATTTGTGTTCTTCCCTCTTGCCCAGTGGGAGGTAAATATGAGTAAGGCCCAGGGGATTTAATTTGATTGGTCTACTGGCCTAAATTTTCTGGTTGGCTCTTTTAGACTTTTAGTCTTGGCTGAAAGCTGCTCAAGTATGAGCTTCATTTAATTAAGTGAGCTATGTCCCAACCAAGGGCAGAAAACTAGAAATTAGGGTCGGTTTGATTGTGTTCTGGTTTTTTTTTTGTTCTTAAAACTGTTTTATATAATAGTTATGGAAATATGTGTTTTCTGTGTTTTTTTTTTGTTTTGGAATTTAAATGTCAAAATACAAAACAAAAACAACTCAGTCATATTCTCTAAATTTGATTCTAAATACAAAAAAATAGTTATAATTTTTAATTTTTTTTATACAAAACAGGCTTTATCAAAAAAGTTTTTTTGTTCTGAAAATCAAAAATGTATTTTTAAAAACAATATTCAACTAGGCATTAAGGGTCTATTTGATTGTGTTCTGATTTTTTTTTGTTATTAAAACTGTTTTGTAGAATAATTATGGAAACAAGTGTTTTGTGTATTTTTTTTTTTGGTTTGATGTTTGTCATTTTAAATAACATAAGTTATGGGGTTCGCTTTTTCTACAGTCAATGTAGATAACTTGTTATCTACATTGAGCTCAAAACGACGTCGTTTTAAGGCGGAAATCATGTTATTTTTGTGATTATAATGTATTTCAGGGTTATAATAGTCTTTTTCATTATAATTTTTTAATTTTCAATTTAAAACGACGTCGTTTTGAGCTAAATGTAGATAAGTTATCTACATTTATTGTAGAAATATTAAAGTATAAGTTATGTCATTTTAGGAGAGAGATAGACACAAGAAATGAAAATCATGGGAGAGAAAGTGGGTGTTTTTTTAATTTAAATTTTAAATAAAAAAATATTTTTTTGTCTGTATCTCTCTCTCTTGAAATGACATAACTTTATGTCATTTAAAATGACAAATATTTTTTCCATTTATTATTATTATTATTTTGAAAGTTAAAAGTCAAAACACAAAAAAAAAAAAACATAATTCAACCATGTTTTCTAAATTTGATTTTAAAAAAAAATTAATTTTTTTCCCCACAAAATAGATCTTATTAAACAGGTTTTTTGTTGTTGGACCAATATGGCCTTACTTAAAACACGACTTCTGTATTTGTGTTTGCAGAGCGTAACGTCCCCAACTCCAAAAGAGAGAATGATAGTCAAAAAGAGTAGAGCTAAAAGAAAAAAAAAAAAATCTTACAACGTGATGTAGAATTTCTATGCCTAAGTATTATTTTGACAACTACGTTTTTTTAATGTGCGAGTGTGGAATATTCCCTCAATGATTTCAGTTGAACTGAATTGTTTAGTAGCGATCACGGATCCCTTTGTAAGTGACAACTAACAAGCGAAGCAAAGAGGGTGTATATATATAGATACATCCAGAAATTTTATAATTTTGTTATTGCGATGGAATCTAATGCTTTATTATGTGTGGTACAACATTCTCCCCGTTTATTTTGATCATAAATGAATAAATTCTTTAGCTTTTCGCTTTTGGCGTACAGTAATGCCTGTTGTTATAAGGGATTAATGTAAGAGATAAAATTATATTTTACACATATATAAAAATATGTGGAGTTTATATTATTTTATTTTTTTCTTCTTTTCATATAGCTCTATATGAGTTTCATACTGTATGTATGATATAATTTTATCTCTTTCAAGAAAGAATTTAAATGCTTGTTTATAATTTTATTTTTTGTGACATGCCCCTTTCCAGTGTTGCTCAAGAATGGCATAAGAAAACTAGTTAATTATTTTTTAGTTGAGAAGTATTTAATACCTTATATAAAAGCTTTTAATTACATAAAGAGGAAGGCATTGAATATTTTTGTTTTTTTATATAATGAATTTTGTTTCAATTTATTTCCGTCAAACCATACTAATGTGTTGGAAGTAGGATGTTTGTAGTCAAACTGTGTTCCTCACAGCGTACTATCTCTTAATTTAAGATTGTTAGGCCAGGAGAGACCATGTGGACATCACTTTCTAATGCAGTAAAGCCCCACCAATATCATCCTCTTTTTATTTTTCCACCACAAGTTGTTCCGTTCCTCCATTAACCCTTTCTCCCGCACTCATAAAATTCCAAAGTGCCACCTCCCCCCATCTTCAAAAGCTTGGTCACCTTCACGTATTCTTTCACATGTTCCTATTCTAACAGCTAGCAATACCACCTAACTTCTCTCTCTCTCTCTCTCATTCCTCTTCTCCACCAGGCCACTTGCAGCAGTTCATCATATGCTTACCTACCCCGTTAAGCCCGCTCCTATCTCTTGCAAGAGCAAACTTTTGGTACCACCGTCGTTGTTGGTACTTCTCTTCTTAATAAAAGAAAATAAATAAAAAGTAATTAAAATGGAAAATAAATTTCCTGTTTTAGTAAAAAGATGCACCCAACTCAATACAATGGTAGTATTTAAAAAATTTCCCTCTTGCAGTTACATAGCATGAAAGTTTTTCATTAAGTAACATATTCAACTTCCATTCTCAAAGGCAATAAATTATACAGTTATAACAGAAATAAGTAGGGTTAGACGAATCCCTTATTATTTCTAGCTATACAGACACTCGAGCAGACAACTGAAAAACTATCATTTTTTTTTTAATAAAAAAAATGCTATTTAAATTAATTGTGACTCTGTGTAATTCGGAGTTACTCCTTACTACCATACCAGATCAATGTATTTCACAGTTTGAAGTTGCAGCTGACACTAATTATTGGGTAGGTCATGTCATTAACTGAGATTTTTTATTTTAATTTTTTTTTATTTTGCTTCAAACAAGGGCTAGTTTTTTTATTTTTAAGGGAAAATCATATGAACACTGCGAGCCCTTGAAATAACAAACAAATAAGAGAACCTCCAAGAGGTAGGCAATTAAAAGTTACTCATAGTCTTGTAGAGAGACCTGAATAAACTAGATCCAACAGTTGAGGTTCATTTTGCAGAGGAACTAGAATCACATGTTAGAAGCAGCATAATACAAAAGTAGGAATCACCAAATCTGTCTTATTCAGTCAGCTAGAAAATGCTACAACGTGACAAATGACACACAGATATAAATACCCCAGCAAGATTTGGTCACCCACCCAAACAAATCACTAATAAAGCACAGAAGAATGATCAACGAAATATAAAAAAAGAAACAGCATAAAATACCAGAGTTGCTAAAAGGGAAAGGGAAAAAAGCTACACAAATACATATCTCAGTGACTCCTTCTACGTAAAGTTGAATGAATCAAAGACCCTTTCTGAGTTTAAACAAGAAGCATTGCAGCACCCCCAAACAGTGCTAGCATGAACAAGCTGCTTCCATGAACAAACGCGTTGCTTGGCTTTGAGGCCACCGGATTATGAGAAGGTGGTTCTCCAATCGACGGTGGCGGTGAAGTATGTGGTGTCCCCGGTGAGGGAGATGAAGCAAGAGGAGGAGCAGAGGATGAAGGTGGTGATGTGGGAAGAGTTGGGCTTGGGCTTGAGCTTGAGCTTGGGCTCCCGGCACTTGGGGGTGATGAAAATGGGGAGGAGGCTGGTGGAGGATTGTTAACGTTGAAGAATGGTGGCATGGTAGGAAGTGTCGGTGCAGGGGAAGGAGCTTGTGCTGCGGACATTGCCACTAGAACCAAGGACATGGCTAGCACGTGCATGACACTCGTAATTGCCATGATTGCACCGAAGAGATAGGGAACACAGGAAGACAAAGAGAAAGGCAGAGAGAGAGAGAGTGTGGTTCTGAAGAAGAACTGAGCAACGACGTTTTGTGATTTATATATGGAAAAACATTTTATAATGTTGCGTCAGAATTCAAATTCAATTTACATCTTGTGACCGCTCGATTTGCATGCAGTTTTTTTTTAAATAAATATAAGATCCATTATTAACTCATCATTAATTGAGTTACAGCATGAGAATTTAATTCTAATGCAGAATGAGAATATCAAATCCATCTGTATATAATAGTAAAGATAAGTTCAAAGAGATGTCAGTGTTTTATTTTTGTGACACTAAAATGCGCGAATATTTCATGCAATCAAGCGTGGGAATGGTATTGACACGTATTTTAGACAGAGAAAACTTGAAGGTAGGAGGCATCTTGTTGTGAGGTCCAACAACAATAGTAAAACACCAATGGAATTCGAATAAGCCATTTAAAATTACTTATATTCAATATCTTTTATGTTCTGTTTTGCTAGGAAACTACTACATGAATTTTTTTTATTTTGATAAACACATGAATTTTATTAAGTCTGTCATGTCCTAATACCACTTTTTATTGTGTATTAATGTATAAAAAAAATTGAGAGCAGTAACTATTTTTTTTTTAAACAGTTGTGCTGGCAAATTTGTCGATATATTTAAAATTTATAGTCCATAGACATTAGGCTATTGAACTTTTTCATATTTAAAATAAATTAAAATGATAAATTGATCACCCTTTTATATATATATATATGTGTGTTTTTTTTTTCTTTGTTCAGTGTTGGTTCTTCATGCTCATAGATACATTTCATCCCTCCTTTTCATGCCATACCTGCCTGCAACAAGTCATGTAGCATGCTGCATGATGGATATTTTTTTTGGGAAATTGGAAGAAAATGAAGAAAGAGAGAGAAAACAGAAGGATAAAGGAAAGACCGAGAGACAGATTTGCAGAGAGGGGAAAGAGAAATTCGATGAGGGATGATGGAGAAAAGTTAGGAAATAAAAATTTGTAAAAGAAGCATTGCGAGAAAGAGAGGGGAGAATCATGGCAAGATAATTTGGTTTATTTCACTCATATTCCTTAAATTTTGTGAAAATAGTAAATTATAACATTTTTTAAATGTTACTAGGTGATATGCTAAAGTCTCAATTATTTGTATTGTTTCCACTTTTTACTTCCTGCTTTATTTAAATATGAGTAAATATTTTTTGGTCCTCGGTAAATTTCACGATACCTGCTTTAGTCCCTAGCAAATAAAAAGACCCATAGTAGTTCCTAAGAAATTTAAAATGGACTCATTTTAGTATTTTTAGGGACTAATATGGGTCTTTTTTAAATTTGTGAGGGACCACAATTTCAACTAAATGGTTCATTTTGAATTTTTTAGGAATCACGATGGACCTTTTTATTTGTTAGAGACTAAAACAAGATGAAATTTGCTGAGGACCGAAAATGGTATTTACTATTTAAATATTATCATGTTTTTAGGCGTTAGGGCCCTCTTTATTTAAAAAAAAAAAAATATTTTCATGTCAGCTCATGTAATAATAGAAAGGGCAGAGTTTACTTTTCAAAAAGAAAATTGTAAGTACATACTCACAATTTCAAGTTTTTTTTTTTTTTTTTGGTACATCACAATTTCAAGTTTTAACCATTTAAGTAACTGTGTTTGTGCACGTTGGAACTTTCGCAAAATGACAAATGCGTCCATTGCTTTCACATTAAGAATAGCATATGTTCTTCCACGACATTTCAAAAAAATTAAAGTGTTGTGTATCAAAGTTTGACATATTTTGATATATATAATATTTAAAATTTTATTACATGAAAAAATTAATCAATATTTTGTCAAATTAATATAATATAAATTAAAAATGGATATTGAATAAATTTTATTAGAGTATATAAGAGATTTTTAATTTAAAAATATAATAATAAATATTTACATCTTCTGTTTCTTTGTAAAATTGATGGGTATTATAAGTTTAATTTTATTTTTTTGTTAAATCATTGCACATTAAATATAATATATACAACAGAAATGAAATATTATTTAATATAAAAATATGTTCTAATATGTCAAAATTTAATATTTTTTAAAATTAATATATCAAAATATCGTGTTATATCTGTTCGGCTTCCTCCTTCAATGCTAAGCCCAAGCCTATTGAAGGATTTCCTAAAAATCCTAGATCTCACCTCCTCTATATATTCATTAGGTGTGGGTGGAGGCTAGGTTAGATTGAGAGAAAAATTTGAGATATTTGAGAGCAAAGCTTTAAAGCTTTGTATTTGAGAGATCTCTAGAGAGAGTTTGAGTGAAACATCTCTAGAGAGATTTGATTATCACCATTGTTGGAGAGGTTGTGTTAACCACCACTTTGGTGAATTTTGATTCTTTATATCCATTATTTTCATAGTGGACGTTTGATCTAGACTAGGTCCCGTGAATTTTTACTTCTTCATTGGAAAAGGTTTTCCCACGTTAGAATCTGTTTGTATTCTTCTTCTTTCTCTCTCCTATTTGTGTTTTTCTATTTTTTTTGCTGCGCTGCCCGACCTGGTGAAGTTCAGGTCGAGGTAATTGCCGAGATCCGAGATATAGGATCTTGTTGACTGACTTCCGCGAAAATGATGCTTAGCTGACTTGAGGGAACCGAGTTCCCAATAATGGTATCAGAGCCCGAGTTCGACGGGTTCTGAGAAAGACGAGATGGAGACCAGTGGCATAACCCATGATGGAGATATGTTCAAGCTGACCGCAGACAATTTCACCTATTGGAGACCGACGATGGAAGATCATCTCTATTGTAAAGATTTACATGAGCCCATTATCCTTGATGAGAGACCGGAAGGCAAAATCGATAAGAAGTGGGAGATTCAGAGTCGTAAGGCGGTAGCTACAATCAGAAAATATATTGACAAAAGCCTCTTTGAGCACGTGTCCGAGTTCACGAACGCGTACGAGTTGTGGACGAAGTTGGAGTCTATGATTCAGAAGAAGACTCCCAGGAACAAAGCACACCTGGTTCACCGGTTGGAATACAAGGACGGTATGAGCATGATTGAACACCTCAACACCTACAAATGTATTGTGAATCAGCTATCAAAGGCTGAGATGAAAATTGATGACGAGATGCAGGCCTTGCTGTTGTTGAGTTCGCTGCCAGAAAGCTAGGATACTCTGGTGGTGACCTTGAATAATTCGACTCTAGATGGAAAATTGAAGATGGAAGTCGTGACAGACAGCCTCTTGGGCGAAAAAGTCAGGAGAAGATAACGAGGTATTTTGAGCACGTCTGAGGCCAACGTGTCTAAAAACAGAGGGAAATTCGACTCCCGGGGTAGAAGCAAGAGTCGTGGTCGAGATCGTGATAGAAGAGGAAAGTCTAGAGGTCGGTCAAAGCCGAAATATGAGTTGAAATGCTTTTACTGTGGAAATACAGGTCATAAGAATCCATGCTACTGGACCCTGCAGAATGACGAGAAGAACGACTCTGTGAAGCTGGATCAGATTATTCCAAAGAAGAGGGAAGACAAGAGCATCACTGCTATGGCTGCCAACTCGGATGTCGAGATATTCCTCCTTGGTGAGGATAATTATTTGAATGTAGCATATGATGACTGCACCTGGATTGTTGACTCAGATGCCTCCTTCCACGTTACTCCACACAAAGGTTTTTTCTCCTCTTACCGAGGTGGTGACTTTGGAGTCGTTAAGATAGAAAATCAAGTGACCAGGAAGATTGTTGGTGTCTGCGATGTAACCCTGACCATAGATGTCGGATGCCGACTTGTGTTGAAAGATGTAAGGCGTGTTCCTGACATGCGATTGAACCTAATCTCGGTAGGCAAGCTTGACGATGTCGGGTTAGTGAACTACTTCGGTAGTGTTAGATGGAAACTGGCCAAGGGAAACTTGGCTGTGGCCCGAGGTAAGAAGGAAGGCTCCTTGTACATAATGCAAGGAAAGATCAATGGCGGAGAGGCAAATTTTGTCCGAGATGGATTTAGCTTGGAGCTATGGTACAAGCGCCTCGGTCACATGAGCGAAAAAGGGCTCTAAATCCTGAACAAGAAAGGATTACTGACGGGTTGAAAGGCCAAGCGTTGGAGAGTTGCATGCATTTCCTTGCTGGAAAGCAGCACCGGGTTTCTTTCGTGAAACCGAATCAACCCAGACGACGTAGGTACATTCTTGACCTCGTCCATACTTATGTTTGCTCCATGTCGGAAAAATCTCTTGGAGGAGCTCAGTATTTTGTTTCATTCATTGATGACCACTCCCGCAAAGTGTGGGTTTATTTGTTGAAGTCTAAAGACCAAGTACTCCAATCCTTTAAAGAATTCCATGTTATGGTTGAAAGGAAGACTGGTAATAAATTGAAGGTGGTCTGATCTGACAATGGTGGTGAGTATTGCGACCCTTTTGATGCATACTACAGAGCGACTGGGATCCGACTTGAGAAGACGCCCCCCAAGACTCCACAATTGAATGGACCTTCTGAGAGGATGAACAAGACTATTGAAGAGAAGGTCCGAAGTATGCTATCCAATGCCGGATTTCCGAAATCATTATGGGGAGAAGCCGTTAGAACTGCTGTTGACTTGATCAACCTCTTACCATCACGACCACTTGAAGGAGAAATTCCAGAAGAAGTCTGGACAGGTCGGAAAGCGGCTTATAATCAATTGAAGGTGTTTGGATGCCGAGTTTTCGTGCATATCCCTAAAGTCGAAAAGGCAAAGCTCGATGCAAAAACAAAGGAATGTATTTATCTCGGTTCACCGAAATCCGAGTTTGGTTTTTGACTTTGGGATCCAATCAATAAGAAGATAGTGAGAAGCTGAGATGTGATCTTTCATGAAGATGAGAACATTCAAGACATCTCGAAGCCCAAAGTCCGGGTTACTGTCAGACGTGAAGAACCCATCCCTCCTGTCCGAGCTGAAGAAGGGGGAGAAAATCAAGAGAATGAAGAAGTTGATGACCAGCAACAAGCTGATGATGACCAAGACACTGAGATCTGAGTTGATGATGAGATCAGAGATGAGAATGATGAACCAGGTTCTCAAGCTGAAGAACAACCGAGATATCCAACTCGAGAAAGAAGACCCTCTACAAGATACTCATATGATGAATACACCGTTGTTGCTGAAGACGGTGAGCTTTAGAGTTATGATGAGGTTGTGACGAGCTCAGAGAAAGAAGAATGGGAAAAGGCAATGCAAGACGAGATGAAGTCTTTGCACGATAATCAGACTTATGAGCTGACCGAATTGCCAAAAGGGAGACGAGCTCTGAAAAACAAATGGGTCTACAAGATTAAGAATGAAGAGAACCGGCTGAAGCCGAGATACAAAGCCCGGATTGTAGTGAAAGGCTGCAATCAAAAGAAAGGTGTAGATTTTTAGGAGATCTTTTTTCCTGTGCTGAAAATGACCTCGGTCTGAATTGTGTTAGCCATGGCGACTTCTATGGACCTCGAGGTAGAATAAATGGACGTGAAGACAACATTTCTTCACTGTGATTTAAAAGAAGAAATATATATGGAGCAACCTGAAGGGTTCCGAGCTCCAGACCAAGAAGACTTGGTATGTCGATTGAAAAAGTGCTTCTATGACTTGAAGCAAACACCTCGGCAGTGGTACAAGAAGTTTAAAGTCACAACTGTGAGCACCCCCCGGCCGGACATATAAAGCTGAACCAGAAGCAATGTCTGAGATTTGATGAAGACAAAGACGAGATGCTGAAGATCCTGTACCAATCCGACGTCGAAAGCTTGATGTACGCAATGGTTTGCACTAGACCCGATTTGGCATATGTTGTTGGAATGGTAAGCCGGTATTTGTCAAACTCCGGCAAAGAGTACTGGGAAGCAGTGGAGTAGATCTTCAAGTACCTCCGAGGTACGACCAACTTATGTCATTGATTTGGAGAAGGTAAAGCCGAGTTGCAAGGCTACTCAGATTCTTATTTAGGGGGAGATTCCGACTCGAGGAAGTCAACAACGGGATACATGATGAGATTTGCTAGAGGAGCTGTCTCCTGGCAATAAAGACTTCAGAAGTGTGTTGCACTATCGACAACCGAGGCTGAGTACATTGCCGCTACTGAGGCAAGCAAAGAGAAGCTGTGGATGAAGAAGTTCCTCATAAAACTCGGCCATGATCAAGACAAGTACGAAATGGGTTGTGACAATCAAAGCGCAATCCATCTTGCGAAGAATTCGACCTACCACTCCCGCACTAAGCACATTGATGTGAGGTATCACTGGACCCGGGATGTGGTGGAAGGTGGAGAGCTCGAACTCGTCAAAGTGCACACTGACCAAAATTGGTCCGACATGATGACGAAGCCGGTTCCAGCAAGGAAATTTGAAGACTGCTGTGAAGGAGCCGGGCTGATGCTAAAGTCGACGCATTGAAGTCGGAGGGGGAGATTTGTTGGGCTTCCTCCTTCAATGCTAAGCCCAAACCCATTGAGGGATTTCCTAAAAACCCTAAATCCTAGATCTCACCTCCTCTATATATTCATTAGGTGTGGGTGGAGTATAGGTTAGATTGAGAGAAAAATTTGAGAGAAAGTTATTTGAGATATTTGAGAGATCTTTAGAGTGAGTTTGAGTGAAACATCTATAGAGAGATTTGATTATCACCATTGTTGGAGAGGTTGTGTTAACCACCTCTTTGGTAAATTTTGATTCTTTGTATCCATTATTTTCATAGTGGACGTTTAATCTAGACTAGGTCCCGTGGATTTTTACTTCTTCATTGAAGAAGGTTTTCCTACGTTAAAATCTGTTTGTGTTTTTATTCTCTCTCTTCTGTATCTCAGATCTCAGCAATTACCCCGTATAGTTGAATTGATTTTAGTGAGGTTTTGATTTTGTTTGTGTTTTTTGTTTGATTTGATCCATACAACATCGTAATGGACATAAAATCGAAAATAATGTTATTTTACATTACATTTTCTTTAAAATTTAATTCATATTTTTTTATTTATTAAAAGCTATGAAGAGTAGTTTTTTAAAAATATTCTTAAAAATTTACATTATAAGAGCATTTCTTTTTCAAACTTTATCTAAACGCACCAATAGTTTGTTAGAATTCTTTTAAGAAACTACTTTTTCTAGCTATTTAAAAAATACTGTTTTTTTATAAAAAAAAAACGTATTCAACTGTTATAAATTTTTTAGATATATTTTCTATTTAAAAATATATCTGAAAGTTTTATGATAATTGAATAAGTCTTTTTTTGTTGTGAGAAAAAACTTAAAAGAAATGTTAGTTGCAGTATTTTTCTTAAAGACAACAAAGAGTAGTTTCTAAAAACATTTTTTTTAAAATATATATCATGAAAGTATTTTTTTTTTTTTAAATTTTATATAAACGCATACGTAAAATTTTCAGAATCTTTTTTAAGAAACTTCTTTTTAAGCTTTAAAAAAATTGAAACTTTTTTTTTTCATTTTTTAAAAAAAATTTATGTCATTATTTTATAAATTGTTTAGATAATTTTCATAATTTAAAAACCACTTTTTTATTTAAAAATAAATTAAAAATCCATGCCGACTCGATTTTGATTTAAAGAAACTTTATTTGAAACATGTTAATGCTAGTGATTTACCCAAAAAAAATAAAATATAACTTTTTTTTTGTTTGGCTACAGGAAAAATAATACAATTTATTTGAGACATGTTAAGGTTCGTAGTGATTTAGGAGCAAGCCTTAGGAAAGTATTTAATATAAGTCCAAACTTGAAGCCCACTTATAAAAGCCCCGACTTGAAGGAGTTAACGTTTATAGACATTTTGCAAAAGCAACATTATAGAATGACATAAAATAAGGCCGATCGGGCCCAGCCCATTAAAAAAAAAAAAAACGTAAGATTAAGGGGCCGTTTGGTACGTGGATAATCTTAGGATTCCCAGGAAACTGATTTTTTTAAAATTTTAAATTTTCAAATATTATCGTAAACTGGATGTAAAAATCATATTTTTGAAAATCAAAATTCTCGGACAAATAAAAATTTGTCTGGTACCAAACGCCCCCTACGTGTATTTCACACGTGTGTGGAAGGGATTGAAACTAAACAGATAAGGGGGTTGTTATTGCCTCCTCATTACATTACCGGTGTTCTAACGGCAATGACTCGTACGCAGTGAAGTGACCCTCTTCCTGTAACCCTAGTTGTTTCTCTCTCCCTCATGGCTTCCCAATTTCTTCTTCAGGTTTCTATTCTTATGTCTTTATCAATTGTGAAAACTGAACACATTTTCGATTTTGCTAATGATTCTGATATTTTATCGCAGCAGGCTCTGTTTGCCCCCAAGCTTGGTTTCTCTTCTTCTCTTGTGTCTTCATGTTCAGCCTCCATGCTCGGTTCTCGTAACGTGCCGTTGATTTCCATTTTTTCCTCGACCTCAATTTCATGGCGGTGCAGTCCTCTTATTGCTAAGCCTGCTTTTGTTGTGCGAGCTGACTCCAACCCTGAAGGTGGTGGTGAAGCCACCGAAGATGTCGCTTCCGATGATGTTGTTGAAGTTCCGGAAGCTGAAGCTGAATCAGAATCAGAACAAGTTTCGGATTCTGATCCTGGCTTGGACCCATCGAAGCCAGCCAGAAAACCCCGAGTCAAGCTTGGAGACATTATGGGGGTAATTTCTTTATTCCATATCTTATTTAGTACTATAAAGGAATAACAATTTCTTAAGAAACCTGATTTCCTAAGTTGTTGGGATGGACATTTTTTCACAATTATGTTTTATGTGCTTTTGTTTCTTCAAATGTGTAGGTTAGCTGTGATTGATTGCTACGGGGTGTGTAAGTTTGTAGCCTTTAACACATGCTTTGTAGCATTTCTTATATGAAAAATACTCATTACTGGGTTTCGCTATCATCCTTCGATGCAGAAATGATCTGTTTTGATGCAGTGTACTTTATTTTGATGTTTGGAAGCTTGTTTGTGTTTAGATAGTAGTTAGGTTCTCACTCTCTACATCCTTTGTAGATGTGTTGTTAACTTGTAACGTCAACTTCATTTTGTGAGTATGTGATAAACTGTAAGAAAAAAGTGAAGATGGATGGACTCTAAAATGCGTGCTGCTGTTCATGCAGATATTGAATCAGAGGGCAATTGAGGCATCGGAGAAGCAGAGGCCGACTCCGGCCATTAGAACTGGAGATGTTGTGGAAATCAAATTGGTATTCTTTAAAAATATTTTTAATAAGATCCTTGGGCTGAGAAGAATTTTATGGTGATATATAATTGTTCCACTTACAGGAGGTCCCTGAGAACAAGCGTAGGTTGTCCATTTATAAAGGTATTGTCATCTCAAGACAAAATGCTGGTATTCATACAACTATTCGAATCCGAAGAATTATTGCTGGCGTGGGGGTTGAGATAGTCTTCCCAATGTAAGTATCCCCCTTACCAGAACTTTAAATTATATTGGTAGTGTCATTTACACTGGTGAATGTTTTTTTTTGCTGCATTGCTGCGTATCACTGTGTATCTAGTTGCTGTGACTAGGATATAACATATTTATTCACAAAGATGGAAATTTGAAATGAATGCTACATTTAACATTTTTACTTGTGTTTAAGTGAATTGAAGTCCCTTTGAAGACATTGGATGACTGAAAATGAGAAAAAGGAAATAGCTATATATTATTATTTTTAAAATTTTGGATTATGTCCAAGCACCTGCATTATTGATGGTGAACTAGTGCTGGTACCCTGGTTTGCTTGTTAAAATCTGCAAATGTGCACCTTTTGAAAGTACAAATTGTTAGGAATTTGTTTGAGGAACACTGACCAATATAGCTGAAAATAACCTTGTTCTAAATTCCATATAAACTTATAAAGGCTCAGTTCATCTCAAATGATTGTTACAAATTGGATTCACTCATTTCCATTGGAGGGGTTTTAATTTTAACTTGTAAGAAGAGCGAGCATCTTTTTGTGTTATTTACCACCATCCCTGGATATATGAAACTCAGGGATTATGATTCCTAATATTAGGAACTGGAAAAAAGAGTAAATCCCATTGCACAAAACTCTCCAACTTGCAAGGGTAGAAGTGAAAGTCCATTGTATGTGGCCTTAACCTTACATTTTTGCTGAGAGGCTGTTTTCCAAACTCCAATGCGTGATCTTCCGGTCAGAAGAGAAACCTAAGTCTCCCCCTCAAACTGGAAAATTATTTCCAAAATGTTGCAATGTCAGACTGAATTTTGAAGTCTAATGATATGACTAACCTAAATGCCTCTCTGTTGCGGATAAAAATATGCAATGCTTCTCAGCATAATTTTTTTCTTCCGTCTATGTTGTACGGGGAGTGGGTTTTTTTCTTGAGCAGCGGTAAAACTGTTTTTTCATGACTAAAAGGTCATGGGTTTGAATCCAGAAAATAGCTTCTTTACAACTATGCAAGGGTAAGACTCCAGGAAATCCTCTACCCCACACTCGCTAGTCGGGATTAACGGGGATTGATTTTTTTTTTTATGTTGTACGGTGAGAGTTTATGAAAATATCATTTAAGGATCTAAATTTATTTATTCAAGCGAATTAGCCAAATGGTTCACTTTACTATTTTACCAATTGATGCTTAAGACCAAAGTAAATTTTCATGTCCGTGACCGTGGCTTATATTATGAAGTCTTTACCAGATTTTTCTTGTGAGATACTGTTTTCTATGATGCTTTTGTTTGCTGTCACAGTTACTCCCCAAACATCAAAGAAATCAAAGTGGTAAGCCACCGTAAAGTTAGGAGGGCAAGATTGTACTATCTAAGAGACAAGCTTCCCAGATTCTCCACTTTCAAATGATAAGGTTACTCACTTTTCATCACTTTCATCTTCGAAGTAGTCTACTGATCCGGAAGGAGCGATTGGCGTAATTTGATTATTTTGATTTGGTGTGTTGTAGAATATATCATTTTTCTTCACCTTAATCTATCCTCCAAGAAATGGAAACAAATGTAGTTGCCGTTGATAATATTGAGAAATTTGAAGTGTTTCTTCTGCATGCTTATTATCCGGTAGAAAGCCAAGCTCTGAAGAAAACTTTACTACATAGTAAATACAAAGGGATTAAAATCTGCGTCACATGATGTAATAATCATGTTCTTAATTTCTACAGTTATTTGTTGTGTGTGTATGTCTGAAAGAAATATGCTTGCATGGGCACTCTACCCATATAAGAAATTTCCTGTTTGCGAACCTGATCAGTGATCACTTATTTGAAACTCAGTAACGGTGATGTTCTTGTTACTATCATGTTAGCTTGTTAGATACATTAAAAAATTTCTTTTATTTTGATCCTAATGATAAAGTCAAGAGTACTTATCGGCAGCATCAGGAATCACGATTTATAAACGCGTTATTGTTGATGATTGATGATTTTCATATTTTAGCACAATCATAAAATGTAGTTTGCTTTGGTTTGCTACTTCAGTGTTAGTGTTTGAACGCTCTACTTGCTTGGCAGATTGAAGAAAGGGTATATCTAAGTACCGGTTAATAGGTTTAATATTTGGTTTTTTAGTTAGGGTTTGTTTTTTCTAATCTTAATTTAAAAAGTTTTGTCTAATGTTCACCGAAAATGAAGTCGTTTTGGGGCGAAAATTACGGTGAGTTTGTAATTTTAATTTTTTCTAGGGTTATATAGTCTTTATTATTCTAATTTTTTAATTTTTTAATCTCAAAATGACATTGTTTCATTGAACATTAGATAAAGTTTTTTAAAATAACATTGGATATTTTATTCACTTTTAGTTAATACTATTTTTTATGAACATAATTTGTTTATTTATTTTTTTATAAAAATTGTAGTTAGTTTGTAATTAATACATTCTTTTAATATAATAAATTGCACCTAGGGAATAATATTATGGCAGAATAATGGTCAAATATGTGCAATATCCTTGCCGCCCTAATAATACACCTATTTAGATAATGTTGAGTAAGATTACAAAAGTTTAATTGTGGTGAAACGTAAATATTTCTAATATGAACAATTTAAAATGCAAAGGTCTTTTTTTTTTTAAGTAATGAGGTTTCCTTATACTTGTATGAAATTAATCCTTATCGAATTCATGCACTGCAGCTAAGATTCACTTAGAAGTTAATTTATCAATTGAATGGGTACATTAATAATTTTTTTTGTTAAATTTTCAATTGAGTAAGTGCGTTAATTAATTCTTATTAATTTTTTGAGATAACTTTTAAAAAAGAAACGAATGTATTTAGTTTTTGCTCATTCTCCAAACATGTGCTCGGTAATTTAAAAATAAAATAAAATTGCAAGCATCTATTTCAACAAGCAGCAACTTTTGAGTACATTGTACTTGCATTATAACAAAAATTTTGTGCCTTCGCGTTTCTAACAGCCATGTATGGTATATTTATACTGGGTTTTATAAGAGTTATGTTGTAAGAAAAGTGATTGTGTAATGTTTTAGAGATTCGTTTTGCGTGCCATAATTTTCTTTTTTCTTTTTTTCTTCAAAAAGTGTGAGCTCCACAAAATGTTGTGTGTGTAAGAAAATTTGTTGTGTCATGTTAAATGACAAATGCAAACTCCATTTATATTATTATAGGGATAGTGTTATCAATTTAGTATCAATTAATTTTATTATTGGATTGATTATATTAATCAAATGGTTATATTTATTTTCATCCATATTTAATGTGAAAACATTAAATATGAAAAATCATAATCATACAAAAATAGAAAATAGAAAATATGGAGAATCATAACCATACAAAGATGAAAATAAATATAACTGTTGAATAAACATAATGGATCTAATAGCGAAATTGATTGGTAATAATCCTGATTGGTTGTTATAATATCTTACTCCATTATTATAATAAAAAAAGTTGAGTATATCGCATTTTCTCTAAAAAAATTTCTTGTATAATCCTGCTCTTTTTTTTTTTTTTCCTTATTATAAAATCATCCTCAGGTTGTCATAGTTTACTTACGGGCACAGTGGAATCTTAATTGAATCTTGTTTCTCACTTTGTGACGTGAATATGAATTAATATAAATATAAATATAAAAAAAGACACGTGTATAAAGCCAGAGTGTATGTGGAGAGTTTTGCGTAGCCATCAACAGGTGCAAAGAGCAGAGCAGGGTGACCCTGGGAGGACACAGACACACTCTTAAAGTGTGAGGGAGGGTTCAGACCAGAAGCGATCTGGGTGCCTATAAATTTGCATTTTTTGGGTTTGGACTTTTTAGCCAACCATCGGTACCCCATACTCGTCGTTCCACCACATATTCCTTTTTCTCTTTTCTCTTTTCTCTTTTCTCTCTTCTCTCTCTCTCACACCACCCTTTCCCTTGTTTTTTGTTATGTTGATGTTGATGTTGATTCTGATTTTGTTTCTTGTTTCCTCTCTTTAATTCACAAAAAAACACTTTTCCTCTTCGTCATGACTTCTCAACTTATCTCTGTTAGTCCCGACGAGCTCAGGTTCCATTGTATGTAACCCTTCTCTCTCTCTCTCTCTCCAATTCATTTTTTCATTACAAATTTTTACATTCTTATAAGGGGATCAGCGTCAATAATCGTATTTGACTGTGAATCATGAAAAGGCTATAAATTATATGGAACAAAAAACCAGTATTTTGAAGTGATAGATTAGTGACAAAAGGAGGATTTGTATTATATGAATACGAGTTTTATTTCATGTGTGTAAAGAACTTTAGAATATTTCAGATAAATGTGTATTCCTTTCCCCTGTTTTTTTGCTTAATAAACTTCTTATTGAGTTATTCTTAAAACTTTCATGTAACCAGTTGAGCTGGAGAAGCAAACATTTTGCGATCTTAAAGTCCTGAATAACACACAGAACAATGTTGCTTTTAAGGTAATCTCTTTTAACTTGACATTCCGGAATGGACTTATTGTTTGTTGCTTGATATGCTTTTCTCCAACTGGCTTTTAGTTCATTCTGATTGCATTTGATTCCAGTGTTACTTTTAATTTGCCTTTTGCTAGGTCAAAACCACTTCACCTAAGAAGTACTTCGTACGACCAAACACTGGTGTTATACATCCCTGGGACTCATGTATCATCAGAGGTGCTGCTTATTACTATTGCTGAGTCATTTATTTAGTCTAGTTCTTTGGTTAAGATATATATTTTCTTCTTTGGGTATAGGGCACACGTTAAGGATCAAAAAAATAGAAAATATTAATATAGAAAGAAGCATTTGATATCTAGAAAATCCAAAAGTATTTGATTCTCTTTCCTTTAAATGATTAAGATGATTTAATATGGTTGAATGTGAACCCGACATCACGGGTTCAATTCATATAAACAGTCTCTTGCAAATGTAATGTAACATTGCCTACTATAGACCCTTGTGCATAGAGGACCCTTTTAATTAAAGATGATTTAATGAAGAGTAATAAATGTTCTTTTTGATTCCTTAACCTCTTCCTGAAGAGCACTTCTTCAGAAAACCCTTTTTTCTTTTTGGCTTAAACAATTTTTTAAGATCTTTGATGATGTGAAAGGTTAACCTGCTGAAGACAGCCCAAGGCCTGTCAATTCCTTTTTGGGAGATATGCATGTGATCAAATTACTGAAAGCCCATCCAATGTACATAAATTTAGAATATGCCGTTTCTTCTAAGACATGGGTAAAGGGAAAAGAAAAAATTAGTTGAACTGGTGAACTAGGTCTATGAAGACTGGTAACTTCAACCAATCAAAGGTCACGGAATGGAGGTTTTTCTTTCCCACATCACTAAGGACTAGGAAAAAGGTGATTAAGACCTTATATCCAAACATGTAATACACTATTTCTGGTTTTTAATGTTCCCAGTGACTGGTTTTTATGTTAAATATTACTAGACTTCAAATCAATCAGATGCTATTTGCTTATGAGGCAGCTCAGAGCTCTTTCCCTTTCTTTGTTATTAGCATCTGTCATATTGTCTTATTTTTGTATTGTACAGTCACCCTCCAAGCCCAACGTGAATATCCTCCAGACATGCAATGCAAAGACAAGTTTCTCTTACAAAGTACAATAGTGAATCCAAATACTGATGTTGATGAGCTTCCACCAGATATTGTAAGATCAACACTGTCCTTTATACAGGATCAACTATATAATTTGAAAAGAAAATATTGATCGTTAGTACTGCCATTTTGGCTTGCAGTTTAATAAGGATAGTGGTAATACAATAGAGGAGTTAAAACTAAGAGTTGCATATATCTCTCCTACCTCACCTGAAGGAAGCTCTGAAGATGATGCATCGAAGAACTCCACTCAAAAACTTGATAGCTCTTCTGTGAGTCTCTTCTCTTCCCCCAACCTCGTGAAATCAGTTTGAAGTTCCATTTTTATTCTGCATTTCATATTTGGTATTTTTATATATTTAGGCATAATACCATTTGTTGCATCTTATGTGTCAAGCTGATATCCCCGTATGGGTGGGGTCCCTGTAGAAATGCAAAGAAACTTCACAAATTTGAAACGGGAAAAGCCGGAGACATGAGATTAAGGGGCTTTCTATGGATCACCCGGTTACATAATTCTTTGGCTTTGTGTCAGATTTTTCCATCTTGTGGATGCACAGACTACTCATGTGGACAGTGCATAATAAATTTGTAGGAAACACACTTGATTCTTTTTCAAGGAATATGTGAGAAAGCTAGAAAACATATTGAGATTTATAAGTAAAGACAAAACAGAAATTGAAATCAATGAAACATTGAAACTTCTTACTATAGGACCCTTCTGATGGAAAATATAAATCTGTGGCTGCATCAAATCTCTCCCGTTTAGAATAGGCGTAGTATGTGGTTGCAAATGGTTCCTCTGCTCCTTTTTCACTTTCTATAATTTTATAGATATGTTTTCCCATCTTTTAAATGGCATATAACATCTAGCAGATTATGCACTCTGCATACGTATTCACCTCTAACAGGAGTGTGGACTGTGGAAGATAAATTATATTTGGGCATCGAGTTGGTTCAGCAGAGATTGCTTTGTGAAAGATACATGTACAATTTTACCTCTTGTGGGACTGTCTAGTGTACGGATTATACTTATAGACTGAAGTTGAAGTCTATTACTTCTGTATTTGTGACATCAGTTTTTTTTTTATTAAGGTTAAAAAAGTTATATGAGCTACTTTTAATTACATCTGTTTTCATATACATACTGGGTCTGTCAGTCTTTGTCAGCAAAATGTATGGGTAGTTGCTTGAGTTCTGTCTTCTGTGTTTAGTGATCATGTCTAAAACATTACCTGGTATTGCACTTTATTTGGTTCATTGTCGACCATTTCCTACATTATAGCATTTAATGCCAAATGATCAAACTTCTTTGCACGTCCAGTTCTGCAGTTTAGGTTAGTCTCTCATTCTTAAATTGAATTTCCTTTGCTTGAAGAGTCAGGCTTTACAGCACCTGAAGGAAGAAAGAGATGCCGCCGCCAGACAAACGCGACAGCTGCAACAGGAACTGGTAATTGTGCTACACGTTTCCCTGCATTACTCTTTTGTCATAAGATTTTGGTTAAGTTTTTATTTGGAGTTCTTGTTCCAAATATACTTGCACAGTGACTAAACTTGAAAGTGATGAAAAATACTAGTATTAAAATTTGGGAATTCAGATGCCTATAAATCTTTTGAGCTTCTCTCCCTCCTCCAATAAAATAAAAAATGTAGAAGAGAAAAGAAGAATAGTTGTATCCGAAAAAAAGAAGAAGAATAGTCTTATATACTGGAAAAATTATAGTCGTGTTTAGAGCCCTGTGTACTTGACTTTATGTGTAGAGTTATTGCATTTCTTTGGAAACTTAATTATTTGTTTGGGGTCATTTCCTGTATGCTAATAGAATACGTTTATTTGGGCATTAATAGAAACATAGTATTCTTATTGTATAGCTAATGAAGATCTTTATGGAGGGAGTTACTTGTCTGAATCTGATTTAAGGAGACATTGGTTGAAAAAAATTGCATATAAGATCAATTCAACTTATTCATATTCCCTGTACTAAAGGATGAATAAGAGCTAGAAGTGATTAGTCGGTATGGAAGTTCACAACATCTGAACTTTTATTTTACGGAAATGTTGTCTGTTTTTAGAGGCAGGATCCTTTGACATCGGTATCAAATTTGAAGGTTGACACCTCATCTAAGAGCCATTAAATCAAAAAAGATCAATGACTCTGATTTGGTAGCATGTGATATCATTAATTTTTTTTATCTAACGGCTCTCAGATGAGGTGTCAAACTTCAAATTTGACACCGGTGTCAAAGGATCCTACTTCCTGTTTTTATTAATAATTACAAAACTGTCATATTTTTATACTTTGGAATATTTGTAAAAAAAAAAAAACAATGTGATATTTTTTTAATTATAAAAAGAAAACCTAACATACAAAACCAAAAGCATGTTTGCAAGCGAAACGCACTTTTAGAAGCTTTTGTTTCCTTTTTTTTTTCTTTGGGTGCAACACTTGAATCTATAATAGTTGTCTGATGTATGCATACTTGAGAGTTAAGAGCTATTGAAAATATCACTAATCTGTCAGTTCTGTTGGTGTGTAGGACATGCTGAAAAGGCAAAGAAACCGAAGAAGCGATCCTGGCTTTTCCTTCACCTTCGCCATTTTTGTGGGTGTACTTGGAATTTTGCTTGGCTTTCTTCTGAAACTTCTATTCTCTTCACCCCAGAATGATTGATACTGTTGTAAACCTTTGCATGCAGACTTTCCGGTGTTGTTCACTGTAAAATTGTAAAGTTCTATATTCTTTTGAAATGAGATTTAATTTTTTCAGTTTGCTTCCGGTGGGATAATGAACTGTAAATTTTCTTCTAAAAGCAGGCATAAGTGTACGTACACACATTCACATGTATAAAGAGAAGAGGGAGGGAGCTTGTTACTAATTTAGAATACACACTGATCCAAAATTCCCCGATTATTGACCCTACCCTGTTTGCATACCCCAAAACAATGGGACATCCTATGGCAATAGGGTAGCCTTGCATCAAAATTTCCTAATTAAAAGATCGGGGTGATTCGATTTCTCAAGGTAGATGTCATTTACATTTTTTAAATTTTCTCTTTTTATCGGTGAGTTCACCAATAAATAGTTTGGCATTAATTTTTTCTTTTATAATATTTGGTAGTTAAATCTTATTAATTGTAACAAACTCACTTTGGTGAGTTCACCAATAAATAGTACCAATGGCATTAATTTTTTCTTTTATAATATGTGGTAGTTAACTCTTATTAATTGTAACAAACTCACCAATTTTTTTTTTTATTGGTGAGTTCACCAATAAATAGTACCAATGGCATTAATTTTTTTCTTTTATCATAGGTAGTAGTTATATCTTATTAATTATAACATACTCACCCATAAATCTCTTTTTATAGGTAGTAGTCCACATTACTCTTTTATTGATTGCAGCATTGATTCGGTTTTTCAAGATAAATGTTATTTTACCCTTTTAAAATTGCTGATGTTTCTCCATAATTATTCTTTTATTAGATTCAACACATCATCAATTTTTGCAGTTTTTATTAAAAACAAGAGGTAGGTTATACTTATAAATTTTTTTAGAACCTCTTACAATCATATCTTAACACCATTGATTTCCGTCAATCAACGGTTATCATTTATTGTGAATTAATAATTAATTAATGAGTTTAATTTGCAAAAATCATAACCGTTAATTGACGAAAATTAACGGTGTTAAGATATGGTTGTAAGAGGTTGTAAAAAAAAGTTGTAAGTATAACCTTCCTCTAAAAACAATAATAAAATTAGTACCAATGGCATTAATTGTTTCTTTTATCATAGGTAGCAGTCATCTTGACTCATGGAGTGGATGTAAATTTCATATAATTTGATCTCGTATAAATTATGTTTATATTTCTCCTTACAAGAATAAATAGGTGGAGCCTTATTAATATTTGTAAATATTTATAAAAAGAAAAATAAATACAAAATTTAAAATAGCTCGATAATGAGAAATTTACAGGATCTATTTTTTTATTTTTTTTGTAATAAGGATACAGGATCTATTTTTGTCCTCATGCAATATGATCCAGTTTAGATGGAATTTTTAAAAAAAAAAATTAAAAAAATGGTACTTCTCACTTTATTTTTGGGTGTATCGATATTCGCTTTTAAAAAAAATGCAAAATTCAAGAAAAATAATAATCAAAATACTACTTTTATTAAGCCAACATTTTTGGCTTCTGAAAATAAAATCAAAAGCAAAATATTTTTATTAAAATCTAATTTTGTCTCATCACCACTATCATCATATATGATTTTAATAATTATATATATGTTTTCAATTTTAACCTTAAGTAACTATTTTATTTGAAAGTACTTTATCCAAACACAAAATAATTTTTGCTCTTAAAAAAGGCCTTCTAAAAATTAATAAAAAGAATATTTTTTTAAACACTTATCTAAACGAATGTAGATATAATACTAGTCAGTATACCTGCTTCTTTTCTCTATACTAATGAAGTATGTATAATGAAAAGGTAAAAAAAAAAAAAAAAACCGCTTCCGATTGTGAGAGTCTCTTCTTCTCTTTATTAAATTATAGTGTATAATTTATGGGTTTTATAATTGATAATAGAGATCGAAGTTTATAATAATCAGCATAAATTATTTTTTTTAAAAAAACATCAATTTATAGTTAAAAATTGAAATCTAATGACAAAATCCATAATTGCTTATAAAATGTTATAACCTATACTGATGAAAATAAAAATTATTTATATATTCAAACTAATAAGATTTTATTGTGTTCGTTGTTTTTCCAATTTAATTCTGTAAATTTTGTTGCCTTGCTTATCTTTTATGGAGTGGATAAAAATTAGGAAAAACTTTAACATCCCATAAGATTTGCTACGCCTGGCCAAAAAAATTACCAGACTGCCTTGCTAACAGTAAATTTTTTCAAAATGCAATGTGGGGTAATTCGCTACACTGTGTAGGGAAATATGCTTGCAAATAATTCGCTACATAGTGTAGCGAATTATGTCACTAAGAATGCACAGTCAGCAAAAATGACACGTGTCAAGCAGGTAGTAATTCGCTACCCTGTGTAGCATATTATGTTCGCGAATAATTTTTTTGACACGTGACACACTTTCGCAGGAAAAAGCTAACGTGTCATAATTCGCTACTACTCGTAGCGAATTTGGTCTGCAATATAACCATATGTCACGAAATTATTGGCCATGAAATTCGCTATCAGTGGTAGCGAATTATGACACGTGCCAATCTGGTAAAAAATACTCTTCGCGTGGCATTTGGGTAAATTTTTTTACAAAACGTGACATTTTGGTCTCTGTTCCCTTTAAATTAGATTAAGTTTTTTTTTTTAATCCGTATAATCCGTAAGTAGAGAACGCTTCTTTCCTGTTTCTTCTTAAAAAAATAGAGAATAGAGAACGCTCATATTCCTTCTTTAACACTTTCAACATCTTTATATTTTTCTTCCATTATTGTCCCTATTTAAGTAGGGGTTTATTTTTTTTAAAGTTATTTTAGAGAACTTTATCTAATGTTTGTTGAAACGATGTTATTTTAGGACAAAAATTATAGTATATCTATAATTTTAGTTTATTTCAGGATTATAATAATCTTTATTAATCTAAATTTTAAATTTTTCAACCCAAAAATAATATCGTTTCGGTGAATATTAGATAAAATCATCTAATATTATATACTTTTTCCCCTTACGGGTTTACCCTTTAAATAATGCAAATAAACATTCAAAAATCAACAAAAATGGACAAAGAAATTAGGCACCATTATAAAAACATTTAGCAACCTATATAAAATAGATATGCATGATTCCTCTATTTAAATTCAATGCACCTAATCATTCAAATGAGTTTTCTTTTTACGAGTTCAGTATAAAATTTCAACAACATATCACATTATCAATGCTCTATTTAATAAAAGTTCATAAGTTAAATTTCAGCATAAAATTTAAAGGGTTTCAATTTTATCATGCTATAGTGTGGGTCCATATCTATTAAAAAAAATTGCACGAAAATCGAAGGGTTACTGATAGAAAAAAATAATTTTCTTACAACACGAGAAAATGTTTTCACAAAATTTAAGAGTTTCAATTTTCTTATACTATACACACATTTTGTGTGGATCCATATCGATCTATTAAAAAATATTGTACGAAAATCGAAGGGGCACTGATAGAAGAAAATAATTCTTCTGAGAAAATATTTTCCAAAAATTTAAGGGTTTTAATTTTCTTATATTATAGACACATGTTATGTGAGGTCCACGTCTATTAAAAAATATATATATATTGCACAAAAATCAAAGAATCAATTGCAGGAAAAAATAATTCTCCACCTTGGTAAAATGTAAAAGACATTCATGACATAAATATGAAGTCTTAGTCTATTTCTTCATGTAAAAGTAAATTGGACGAGATAATCCAAAAAAAGGTCAAGAAGCGAGTCTAAAGTGGATTGACCAATATATGCTATGTTCTCCCTACATTATATGCTATGTTCTCCCTACATTAGGTGTTGAACCTTCGTTAGATTGTGAAGAAGCATCAAAGAATTTTCCTCCTCTCTTGTAGCCTATTTATCAATGCATTTTCTCCTACCTCTTGAGAGGAGATTTGGAACTATATTGTGCTTTCTCTCTTTACGCGAAGCCCTCCTTTGGGCATAGCTGCTTTACAGTTTCGTACGTTATGCACCTCAAGACAAGAGTCAAGACCACATTTACCATGTCTAATGGGTTTGTTCATCATTACTACCTTGGAAGGATTTCGAGGGTTGCTTTTGCTTTACATAGGTTGCTGAATGCTTTTGTAGATGTGAGAATTTTTTGTCCATTTGTATTGGTTTTTGAATATTTATATTTTTTATGTGTTGTTTTAATAGGGGCAATAATAAAAACAAGGGAAAACTTCAAAAAATCACCTATGAATTTCTTCAGAATCACTTACCCCTCCCCAAAAATTTTAATCATTTACATCCCTATTTAATTTTTTTTTATCACTTACCCCCCTAACTTGATTTTCCATCCAAGTTAAAGTTAACAGAGTTAATTTTTAAAAAAAATACCAAAACTATCCTTAAAACAAAAAAAGGAATTAACCCTTAATACTAACTAAACACCTTGCGAGGGGATTTTTTGAAGTTTTTTAAAAAATCTCAATGACCAAATAGTGAACACTGAAAGTCTGAAACTGTAAGGTATGTATCCCATATATATAAGAAGTATGTCACAATTTTTAAATCAAATACACAAATTAAAAAAAAAACACCACAGCATACAAGGGACATCATACAATTATTGTAATATTTCCTCAAATTACATGTAGCAGTTAAACGTAGAAACTTCACAACAAAAACTTAAAACTTAATATTTCAATGGTGCTGCATATTTTTGAGATCTGACCCTGAGCCAGTTAGTGGGCTAAGGTTGCCCATCTTGATCATCACATTACCAAAATCTAGTCTGAAGAGTAATGAGTTTGTGGCATACTCCAAAACTTTTTGATTTGTGGAACCACCATTGAAGAGTTGTTGGTCAGAGTGAAAAAAACCCTTTTTGTTAACCAAATTTCTGTAGTAAGCACAGTCAAAAAATTCCTTGCTGCAGTGTGTTATCTCTTGCTAGCAATAAGGTGTTTAGTTAAGATTAAGGGTTAATTCTTTTTTCTTGTTTTAAGGATAGTTTTGGTATTTTTTTAAAAATTAACTCCGTTAACTTTAATTTGGATAAAAAATCAAGTTAGGGGGATAAGTGATAAAAAAATTTAAGTAGGGGTGTAAATGATTAATTTTTGAGGAGGGGATAAGTGATTATGAAGAAACTTATAGGATTTTTTTTTAAAAACAAAACAAAACA